AGTACAACAACCAGAACGTGTAGAATAACCTGTTATTTCAGAAGAAATCCAATCCTAGTCAGTAGACGTTCGTTAAATCCCACATCAATAGTGCTTATTTCTTGTCTGAATGAGACAAGTCTGAGAAAAGAGCTATTGTCACTGTAAACTTTTTACTTTTACAAACTTAATCTCCTTCACATTACATCTACAACTATGGTCTAGCATGTTCACTGAATGGGAATGGTGGGAGTTGTATGGCTTCAGATAGAGAATGAAAATTGGCACTAAAATTCTTTTTATGTGAGTTGCACTTTTCCTTGCTATTCCGATAATGTCCATGCAAAGCTATGATCTGCTAAGTGAAATTACAGTACACTATTTATAAACTGTTGCTTTGTTGTATACATATCTGATAGCATTGTTCAAATAGGTTTTTAAGACAAGAAGGTATGAGGGAGACATATGTAGAGCTTGCTCAAGTATTATGCTGTAATTCCAAAATGAAAAATGCAATACAAGATGATTAAATATAAGACGGACTGGGCAAATAGGTGGTGGACAGATTTATCAAGGGCTATTAGACTTTATAGTCAAGGCCATGGTTTTCCCAGTTGAAATGTATGTATGTGAAAGTTGGACCATAAGAAAGGCTGAGCGACAAAGAATTGAGGCCTTTGAACTATGGTGCTGGAGAAGACTCCTGCGAGTCCCTTGGACTGCAAGGCGTTCAAACCAGTCAGTCCTAGAAGAGATCAACCCCGACTGCTCTTTAGAAGGCCAGATGCTGAAGTTGAAACTCAAATACTTTGGCCACCTAATAAGAAGGAAGGACTCACTGGAGAAGGGCCTAATGCTGGGAAAGATTGAGGGCAATAGAAGAAGGGGACGACAGAGAATGAGGTGGCTGGATGGAGTCACTGAAGTAGTAGGCGTGAGCTTAAATGGACTCCAGAAGATGGTAGAGGACAGGAAGGCCTGGAGGAACATCGTCCATGGGGTCGCAATGGGTCGGACATGACTTCGCAATTAACAACAACAACATTAGATTTTAAGATTTGACACTACATCCAGTTTGAAATATACCCTTTCTTGTTTGAAAGCACCCCAGAGGAAATTTGTTAGTCACTGATAAATAAAATATGGAACCAAGATGGGCCTTTATCTGATGCAACACATTACTCTTATGTTCTTATCCATGCCTTAAATTTATAGGCAGCTGTGCATACAATTAACATTGCACTGTCTTTCCTTTTTATATCTGAACTAGTTCAACCCTCAATTCAAGATATAAACAGCTGAAACAGATTTGGGGATAAACAGGAGTAGCTAATGACTGATAGAGTTATAATGATGAAAAAGGAAAATCAGCATTGTAAATACCTATCCATGTATAAATATAAAGCAAATTTACACAAATAATAAAGCATTCTTTTTTTCCCTTTTGACTTCACAGGGACATCCTAAGTCTAGTTTCAATCTGTAACTTTTTCTCTACTTATACCATTGTATACCCATGCTTCTAACCAGTGCTTTTTTTCTAAAAAAAAAAAAAAAAAAAAAAAGTGCCAGAACTCACACACGTCATACAACCTGCCTTGCCTACTCTATAAGATTCCATCCCAAAAAGGTGCCGGAACTCCGTTCTGGGCATTCTATGAGAAAAAAAGCCCTGCTTCTAACTTTCCCAGTCTTTACCCTAGATCAGACATGTCAAATACAAGGCCTGGGGGCCAGATGCGGCCCGCAAAGTGGTTTCATGTGGTCCGCGAAGCCATCCTGGAAACAGTGAGGGAACGGCCCCCGCTGCCTTGGCCCTGGCCCAGGTCAGCCGGGGGAGCCAATGTACAATTTTGTGGTGGCCATCTTGGCACTTGCCCCGGTGGACCATGCCTTGGCACTTGCCCCAGTCCCACCCCCTTCTGCCAGAGACCCTCAGATCTGTCCCACTCCTGCCCAGGCCCCCATAGGCACCCTTGATGCAAATGATCTCGAACTGGCCACGCCCACCCACTCTGGCCACACCCCCCCAGCCCCCCCAGGGCAACTGCAATGCTGATGCGGCCCTCAGTGAAATTGAGTTTGATACCCCTGCCCTAGATCATGACTGTAGTCTCATCTTATAGCCAACCCAAAAGCGAACAGCTTGAAGTAATTTTTTACTGTACCAGAATAAAAGTAATTTTGTTTCCTCTTAGGCCAACAAAGTCATTATAGCTTCATGCTGTGTAAAATATTTCTTTATCACTTACTCTGGAGGCAAGGACAGGTGTTAACTGCAAAGAGAGATGTGTTTGGAATTGCAGGGAGGCATATGAATTCCCTCACAGCCATTTTTTCTTTGCTTTCTGAGTTCATTTTATACCTGGCAGTCCCCCTTACCCATTTTGCTAACAGCTAGTCTCCAGCCTTTCAGTACGGAGGAAAGCTGATATTATTTTTCTGGGTAAGATACTAAAATATTCTGAAATGGCATGTACCTTTAGATACAACAGCCCCTTTTCTTGATTGCAGTGTCAAAAATAGGGATATTAAACTGGGCATTGGTTTATTTCCCAGTTTCCCATATTTATTTCAGTTACTTCTTCCCCTGACTTCCCTGTAGTAAGAGGTAATTTGCTCAATGTCTAATCAATTTGAATTTCCACCCTACAAGATCTAGTTGGTTGTAGAATTATGGCAGAATCTGCTTCTCTCCTCCCTCAGGCTATTTCTGCCTTGGTCTCTTCCCAGATGTTTCTTTATTTTATATTATTTTAACTTGGGAAATGTGGGAGTACAAACAAGTAAAAATAAACCTTCAGGAGACCCTACTAGACAGATCACCTTATTTTTGCTGCTTTGCCTTTTGGATGGATGTTTTCTATGCTTTATTGGGGATGTATTTGTGCAAATTCTCCTTATTCTGGAGGTCTTATCCATTATTATCTAAGCCCCTTTTAATATTTAGAAATATAAAGTCTAACTGGGATGAGTGTTGGGAAAATACTGGAAAGAATAGTCACCACTTGATTGGCATGGAAACAATTTGTTTTTATTAAATAATTTTAGAATCTGCTTTTAAACAGATTTATTTACTTTGATAAATTTATTTATAGCCTATCAATATGGGTAGTCCTCAGCATACAACCATAATAGAGCCCAATATTTCTGTTACTAAGCATGGCAGCTATTAAGTAATTTGCTTCTTATTTTACAATATTTTTTTGCCACAGTTAAGCCAATCACTGCAGCTGTTAAGTAACTCTGGCTTTCCCCATTGACTTGTCAGACGTCAGCTGGGAAGGTTACAAATGGTAATCAAATAACCCCAGGACAGTGCAACTGTCATAAATATAAGCCAACTGTCAAGCACTCAAATTCTGATCACTTGAGTGTGGGGATGCTGCAATGGTCACAAGTGTGAAAATTTGACTTATCTGTCATAAGTCACTTTTTTCAGTGCCGTTGTAATTTCGAACATCACTAAATGAATGGATGTAAGTCAAAGACTACCTCTATTAGTGTATTCTAGCACAGAGGTCCCCAACCCTTTCGTCACCAGGCACCGGTTCTGTGGAGAAAGGTTTTTCCGTGGACCAGAGAATATGTGGTTTTCTGTGTTGCTTGCATCCCACGGATGAGGCTTTGTTTGTGTGGATCGGTTGCTGGCATGCCAAGGCCGGGTACTGGTCCACGGCCCAGAGGTTGGGGACCCGTCCCAGCTGTAAAGATATTAACCCTTTCTCCCCATAGAATATATTCAGGTTAAAATCCTGAGCCTCCTTCAAACTTGCACCTATACCTGAAATGCCCCTCCTCCAGTTAGTTCCCTTCTCATGCCTGAATGTCCTGCTATGTCTTGCCAAACTTTCATTGGGAGTTCACTCAGTCCTCCCAGCACTGAAGATCAACATGCCCATCAGAAGTGCCACTCCCAAAGTAGGGCAATGAATTTTATCCGATTGTATTCAACTCCTTATGGCTTATGTGAAAGACAGTAATAAAGATTTGATTACTCCAGTGATTTGGGGAAGGGGCCACAAGAGCAAAATGGGGACATATTTTATGTCTAATTTTTTTTTCATTTTCTGAGTTAAGGAAGGATGACTACTATGAACCACTGGATTGTATATTTTTAAATGCTCATGCAAATCAAATTGCCACTTTTGCAACCCGGCCCTATCCCATCATTCTTACTTTTACTATATTACTTGTTGGAAAAAAAAGGCAAAAGTATAAGTAAAGAATATAATGCATTCCTGTCATTTGGAGGACACTTTGTCCAGCTCCTAACTATGGTAGGACTACACCCGTTGTAACAACACAGGCCAAAAATCTCTAAACTGTCTAAACCCAAAACCCTATTAAGCATCCCTGTTAGCAAGATGAATAATCATCATAGCTCTAAACTGCAAGAAGCCTTTTAACACTGTATTTTAAACTACCATTTCTCAGGAAAGAAAGGAAAAGGAAAAGAAAGGAAAAGAAAAAGGGAAGGAAAGGAAAGGAAGAGAAAGGGTGGGAAGGAAGGAAGGAAGGAAGGAAGGAAGGAAGGAAGGAAGGAAGGAAGGAAGGAAGGAAGGAAGGAAGGAAGGAATAAATGTCTGTCAAATATACAGGAAATGTAATTTCTTGCTATTATTTAACGGTCGTCTGGATATATTATGTTAGATGATTAACATCCTTTAACTTAATTTTTTTAGGAATAAATATCCTTCCTAACAGGTAAGGCTAAACTGCAGCACTCAGAATGCAATTCACAGAAGCAGGCTAGTTCCTTCCTTTCCCAGGCGCGCATCATGGTTAGGATCGATCTAAACTAGCGCGCCGCTCTCCGACTACCGTCACGCGCGCAGCCAAGACTTCGGACAGGCGCCCGTATATTTCCGAGCGCAGAAGGCAGATTCCGTGCGTCAAAAGATGAGTCGCTCTTCTCATTGGCTGTTCCGACGGAGACGCGTCGCACCCAAACCCTGCGGGGCGTGACCAATAGCCAAGCCCGATGCGAAGATCTCGAGAGAGTTGGTCTGAAGCTGGCACCGCCATGTTGAAAGAGGGAGAGGCCACAGCCAGTTTATGTCGTTCTTCGGATTTTTTTTGTTTTTGAATAGGAACGCGAAGACCTCAAGGAAGCATTTGGATCGACGCGTGTCTTAAATTGATTTGTTCCCTCCGAGAAATCCCGGCGGTGCTAAAGAGGCAGGCGGAGGGGACGGCAACAAGAGGATGGTGCAGTCCTGCTCTGCCTACCGTTGCCGGAATCGATACGACAAAGAGAAGCCCATCTCTTTCCACAAGTGAGTAGGGGCGGGGGTAGGAAAACGGGGGAGGGGGGGAGAGAGAGAGAGAGAAAGAAGGGAAAAAAAAAAAGAGGCTCTCTTGACCAGGCGGGAGAGGGAGATAGCATTCGCTTCGCGAACAGGAAGACGGAGGTAGAGCGCCTGCGCGGCCCAAAGTGGGAGGGACTTTAAATAGTGCGCGGCCTCTCTGGAGGTCGGCGAGAAGGCGGGGTTAAAGTGCGCTTACTGGGCCCTTTCGGTTTTTTTTCTTTAAAAAATAAGGCGCGAGACGTGCCTATCTGGTGGAATCGAACGCGCGTAAGCGCGCGCTTGTTCAACCGTCAATAACAGCAAAGCGCCGCTTCAAGCTTTCTGACGGGCTGGGAGAGAGGGGTTACTTAAATTAAACGATTTCTTAAAATAATCACGATTAAGAATCGGCAAAGCAGGACCAATAGGGATTGACCCCCTCCCTTTTGATCCTGGTATTGCACCCGAGTCTAATTAAAAAAAAATTGCCCAACAAAAGCAAAAAAGATTGTCGTTTTGGTGAAAGCTAGTAGATCTACGGCTACTTTTGGACTTTAGGTGTACAAGTAATCCTTGACTTAAGACTACAATTGAGCCTAAAATTTTCATTACTAAACAAGACAGTTGTTAATTAAATTTTGCCCTTTTTTACGATCTTTCTTGCCACATTTCTTAAGGGAATTAGTGAAGTTAGGAATACCATTTTACGTGTATCTGGCTTCTCCATTGACTTTTGCTTGTCAGAAGGTTGCAAAAGGTGATCACATGAACTTGGGACACTGCTCTTGTGGAAAACGAAAGGACTCTTACGAATTCCAGAGGGTGTTTAGCAGAGAGGTTTATTTGCGCAGGTTCAGAAGCAATGGAGACAGGCAATTCTGAACAAGGAGGGCAGGATCAAACTTCAGTTTTATACTTTCCTTTTCTTAGGAACAAAGGACTACACATTGTAATACACATTGTAATACATTAGGATCGTTTCTCACAGGCATACAATGGAAGGTTTTACTACATACAAAGTATCCATGTGCAATGCGCATTTGGTTAGTCACACATTACTGACAGAATTTTCCCAGTGATTATGCATTACATCATTATTCTAGCAATTATGCAGACAAATCATTATTCTAGTAATTGTTCATTATTCTACCTTATTTTACCACATTTCTGCAACTGTCACAAATATATGCTAGTTGCCAAGTCTGAATTCTGATCATGCAACCATGTTGTAATGGTCATAAATGTGAAAAGCAGTCATAAGCGACTTTTTTCAGTGCTGTCACTACACAAATAGTTGTAAGCTAGCAGACCTATGGCTGCTTCAGGTGTACAGATTGTCCTTGAGTTACAACCACAATTAAGCCCAAATTTTATGTTGCTAAGCGAGACATTTGTTAATTGAGTTTTGTCGCATTTTACAACCTTTCTTGCTTCCGTTGTTAAGTGAATCATTGCAATTGTTAAGCTAGTAACATGATTATTAAATGAATTTGCTTCCCCATTGATTTTGCTTGTTAGAAGTTCACAAAAGCTGATCACATGATCCTGGGACACTGAAACTATCATAAATACAAGTCAGTTACCAAGCATCTGAATATTGAGCACGTGACAAAGGGGATACTGCAATAGTAATAAGTATGAAAAATAATCCTAAGTCACTTTTTTCAGTACTGTTGTAATTTTGAATGGTCATTAAATGAACTATTGTAAGTCAAGCACTACGTGTATATCTCAGTTCTGTTTGTTGAACTCCTATACTGTTTTTTTTAATCCCAGTATTCATAAAAATTTAAGAGCAGCTGAGTTGACCTGCACCAAAAAAGAGGTTATAAAGGTAACTGAAAGTTTACCAATAAAACATGCACATTTGTGAATGTTCACAAGCTCATCTTGACAGAGAACTTGAAAGTTTGCATGCTATCTGTAAATCAGTAGCTGGATTTTGGAGCTTTTCATATTTAATGTAAATGTTTTCTTTTTCGTGGACAGTAATAAATCTTGAGCTTTGTATGCTCCTCAAAAATTTCTACAAACATGGATTAAAGTTACAGAAACAATGGGTATTTCGCAGTTCTCCCACAGACCACGCCTAGAGAGAAACCCATAATTCGTTCACTAGAAATGTAATGTAGAGACCTCTGTACTGGAAGTCATCTTTCACATACTGTTTTTTCTGTTTGGGGTTTCCATTAGCACCTATCCTGTTACTGGGAGAACAGAAAAATTGAGGTCTTTAATTAAATCCAAAAGCTTGATTTCTACCATGTACGCAACTTCTTAAAAGCATATTAAGACTACACCTAAGGGAAAATGTGGCTGCTTCCCTTTCCTCCCCCTGCCCCCCCACCAGTTTGGTAGTAATAATAAAAATTGTTTGATGTACATTTTATTTGTAGGTTTCCTCTCACAAGGCCTGATCTCTGCAAGAAATGGGAAGCTGCTGTTAGAAGAAAAAATTTCAAACCAACAAAATATAGCAGCATTTGTTCTGAACACTTTACTCCAGATTGCTTCAAAAGAGAATGTAACAACAAACTATTAAAGGACAATGCAGTACCAACAATATTTTGCCACACAGAACCAAATGTGAAGGTAAGCGAGGTTTATAAATTATTTTTAAAGCTTCTGTAATTCAGAAAATACTGGGTGGCAATGCTATTATTGCTAAGCAAAAGTATTCTGAAGACAGGAGACTGATATGTAGTGCCAGACTGAAGCGTATTATATTCATCTGTTGATATAATAGAAAGAATTAAAATTCCGTTTCTACTCATTTACCATTTTGATTTTTTTTTATTTTGGATTCTTCTAAAATAAAAAGAAACATGGATTCATTGTAACAATTCTGACAACTTTTTGTATCACTTTTAGACATTTCATCATTCCTGCAAGAATACTTTTAAATTTGATTGGTTTCACATGGGTTAATGCAAGAACTTCGTAAGAATGATCAGTGCTTCTGCATCAGACAATATCTCATAATTTTTGGACCATTGCAAGAGTGCTCAATATTTACTGTTTTGTATATGCACATTACTCCATCTCATGTCGTATTTATGGACAGAATATTGCAGAACTACAATGTCCCACTTCATTTTCTTTTCTAAAAAAGGAGAAATGGGGAAAATGATTTGCTTGGAACAATGAGTATGTAGGACACAAGTTTTCCTATCAAATTGCCACTACTGGACTTGGTGAAAACTTAAAGTAAGGTACTGTTTTCTCTACTCAGCAGCCCTTTCAGAACTAATGGTGAATTAAAAAGAGCTAAATAGGAATCCTTGTGCAAATTATGATTTCCATCCAAGAAATAGCTATATTAATACAAGTAATTGATTCCATTTTAAAACAACAAACTTACCTGCAACGTTCTATGTTAAGAGATCAGCAACCTTTTCAGGCTTTTTATTTTTTTACAATTTTGCACTATATTTTAGATGCCAAAATACAATTTTAAACAACATAACTCGCATGATACTAATGATACAAATTATATAATTAGTATATAATTTGCTTATATTTAAGTTTTTATTTTTTTTATTAAAATCCTCATATTTTAATTTTTAAATTTAGAGAGTATAATATAAATTGTTTTATCAATTTTCTTTTAACAGAATCTTTGTGTCTTTTTTTATCCTCTTAAGAAAAGCATAAGTTAATTAAGTAAATACACCATATGAATACCGGAATATGAGTATTTAGTCTAAGAAAAATAGTTCAGCTAAAGGATTGTTTATGATGGCAATCCTCAACCTTTCCACCTTGGCGGCCCAGCCCGGCGTGTGTGTGTGTGAGTGGCATCTACTCGCACGAATAGGTGCTTGAGCGGAGGGTGCTTGTGCTTGTGCATGAAGCTCCATTTGCATAAGCGCCCTCTGCTCAAGTGACCACCACTCAGGCAAGTGCAGCTTCCTGAAACAGGCTTGCCTATTGCTCAAGCGGCCTAATTTTGGATAGGCCGTGGCCTGATAGTGGGCCGCAGCCGGGGGTTGGGGACTCCTGGTTTACGACAACTTTCTGTTTTTTTATAAATATAAATATTTATAAAATATAAATATATTCATAACTATAAATATTAAGTCGATATCTTACATGAGACCAAGATATTTCACCCTGACACACACACACACAAACACACACACACAAACACACTTTATTTATGCCATTTTTTAAAAAATAAACATTGATACTCTTCTGGTTGGTAATTAATACTATCTTTTAAATCTTTAATGTTTGATACATTGTATATAAAACATACTGTTAATAGGTGATTTTTTTTTCTTCCAGTTGTTTAATTAATGATGCTTGGAATTCTGAAAGTTAGAGTTTAATGATTCTTGACGACACTTAGACTGGAGACTAACACAGTTACCCTATACGTGCTGATATATGTGGTTTGGGGGAAAGGGCTATGATAAATATTAATTAATCAATTAATTATATTATTTATTCATTTTTCTTCTGTTCAATTGTATTCAAATCTCGGATAGTGCTTAGTCAAATCCTGCTGTTTTCTTGGCAAGTTTTTCAGAAGTGGTTTGCCACTACCTCCTTCCTATGGCTGAGAGAAAGTGATTAGCCCAAGGTCACTCAGCTGGCTTTATGCCTAAGGCATGACTAGAACTCATGGTCTCTCTGTTTCTAGCCTGCTGCTTTAACCACTACACCAAACTGGCTCTTTTAATACAGTAGGTGATATAACATGTAATGAATATGATCATAATCCAGTCTTAATTGGTTAGACTTGCCATTTATGCTGTAGCATCAGTAATATCATGAAGGCTTCATTACAACAAAGGCCCTCAGTATTCCTGGTCTGAATATAAAATTGCCGTCAGGGATTTTCTTATGAGTGGAAAGTGGAAAGGTTGCCACTGGATAGGATGTTCAATGCATGGTAATCAGCTCATTTTTTAATCTAAAACAACTACATTTCTGTACACATTTGTTGTGCATTAGACTAGCTACATCAACCAGGACTTGGCATAGCTAATAACTCCTCAGTGCTGCTAATGGAGGATAGGTTAAAATGCATGTTAAAATCAAGTTGTGTAAGACAGCAAGCTTGGAGATGAGTGAGAGCTCATTAGCGTCTATTGCTATCATGTAGACATTCGTGTATTGAATGTTTCTAGGCTGTAGTTCCAAATCCTCCTCCTATAACTGTTAATTATAGTCAAATGATTTTTTTGCAAGAAAAAAAACCCCACCTTGCTATCTGAATCTTAAGACATTTTAATGATGCTATTTCAAAATAACTTTTTAATGCAGCTGATATGGGCGAAAAAAAGAAAAGAAATAATCACCGACTAATGGATTAGTCATTAGTGCTTCACTTACTGAAGTATTTAACTGAGATGTAGTAACACTAATCTATAAATCTGTTTCAGTTCATTTCAAATGTATTTATAGTAATTAATTAGTATATATAAACACATACAAGATCAACACATACAAGAATAACATTATAATTTGAGATGAGGAAGATTTCACAAGTTTTCAAAGATTGTTAAAAAAAAGCAGTTAGACAAAATATATCTAACACTGGGACAAGAATTGAATAATATACGGATAAAATATGCATTGTTATTTTTCTTGAGAGCCTTCCAAATTGGGGGAGATTAAATCTGTTCTCAAATCTATATAAAAGTTGTAATATAATAAGACATTGTTGGAGAGAGACTGACCAAACCAGAGGGAGAAGTCAAGTAATTAGTCTGGGGAATTAGTCTGGAATCTTTATGTACCGGTAGGTACCAGAAGGCAAAATCCGATCCCTCTTGAAGGCCTTTGAACCACATCTAATCTGGTTTAGGTACAAACTATCAGTCTGGGAAGATTCCAGTGAAATAGGCATGCACAATAAAGTAGCTAATTGAACTCTTAGTCTGTGGATCTGGTTGTTCGTGACTGACAGACATGGGCAATATTCTCTGTTGCCCTTATAGAAGAACTATTGTCGCAAGCTTTAGTCCTAGGTAGGTATACAGTTTTAGACAATAAACTTTTGTCCCCTTTCAATGGCAATGCACTTTAAAATGAATGGGAGAGGGGAAATGTTTTTTGTCTTTAGTACCGATGGAACAGTTTCAAAATTCTTGAGATATATAAGATAATTGCAGTATAAATTATGTACGTCAAACAATTATAATTGATAGTTGACATCAAATTGTTATTTTTATTCATTTATTAAATTTATATACCACCCATCTTGCAGTTTGTGGGCAGCTCACAATGTAATAAAACATGGAACTATAAAAACAATTAACTATAAAATAACAGATTAAAATTACAAAAGATTAAGAAGAGACTAAAAGACCATAGATTTGGAATGGAGCAGTGGTGGTGCCTTCTTCTGTCATTGCACCAGCCACCTGCACCCTACAGTTTCTCCTTCAGAGCTCTGTGTCAACCAGCACATCCCGGTTTTAAGGCTCTTCCTGAATGCCAGAACGGTTTCTTTCAGTGTTAAAAGATTGGACAATACTGTTAAAAGTCACAGAATCTAATCTTATTTGAAAAATAAACTCTTGAAGTAAAAAGAACCAATGTTCTAAAAGTAAATAATTTGAAACTATGCATTTTATGGGTCACATCATAACCCATATACCGGATTGTTAGACTGTTTAAGAGAATATTTCCTGTTCAAGGCCACATATTCCAAAAGAAAAGCACTGAAGATGTATTTATTTGTTAGATTTATATTCTGCCTTTTATTTTATTCAGTGTTTATTATACAGTTCACATTAGACAACCACTGCTACTCAAGGCAATTGTGTACTAGTGGATTTCCTTAGTAAATCTTAAGTCTCTTAAGATATTAAGTCTCTTGTGAAAGATGGCTTATGGCAGGGCCATCCACAACTATAGTCATTGGCTTCAAAATGGGCAAGTGAATTTTGAAGCCGGTAACTATAGCTGTAGATATTATTGACCTATGGACTGGCAGAGATTTCAGCTAGAATTCTAGAATGATTAAATTTTATTTATTTATTTATTTATTATTTAAATTTATATACCGCCCTATCTCCCTTACGGGACTCAGGGCGGTGAACAGGCAATAATAAAAATCACAATAAATATTGAATAAAAAGCCTGCTCTAAAATACCCCATATAAAACCCCTAGCAAAACACAATCAAAACTACGCCAGGCCGGCCGCATGGAATAGATGGGTTTTCAAGGCTCGGCGGAAGAGGCGCAGGTCCGTAGTTGTACGTAGGTCGGGGGGATAGGTCATTCCAGAGGGCAGGAGCTGCCACAGAGAAGGCTCTCCCCCTGGGGGTCGCCAGCCGGCATTGACTGGCCGACGGCACCCTAAGGAGGCCCTCTCTGTGGGAGCGGACTGGTCGAAGGGAGATATTTGGTAGGAGGCGGTCTTGCAAATACCTAGGTCCATTGCCATGGAGCGCTTTAAAAGTTGCTACTAACACCCTGAAGCGCACCCGGAAGGCCACCGGCAGCCAGTGCAGCTCGCGCAGGAGAGGTGTTACATGGGAGTATCTAGAGGCCCTTTCAAAAAAAATCTTAAAAGTAAGCCACATTCTTACAGTAAGATGAATGAGTATGTTTACAAAAATATAACTGTATAATAAATTATTCAAATACCCCAAACTGCTCCACTGAAATAGATTACATTCTGGTTTCTAATGTTCTGCTGGAATCTATAACAGAGACCTCTAGGCTGGATTAAATATACAGATTTTGCTCCTGTTATGAGATATATTGTTTATAGCAAAAGACAAATCCAAAGTGGAGCTGGAAAATTAATCTTAGTTTGCTATCCATCGAGAATTACTGAAGAAACAATCCCTAAAACATTTTCTTGTTACTTAGAGAATAATCCTGAAGAATCTGTGAGCACTCACATATGCTAGAAAGCATTAAAAGCAGAAAAGAAGAGCACAATAAATGAATAAAAGGAAAAATGAGATTTTATTGGTACTATCTAAATCTAATAGGATCAATTAAAGAACTAGAACTATGGAAATTCATTTCTGTTGTAACAGAATTAGTTTAGATGAAACACAAATACTATGAATAAAACAAATGACTGCATGTATTCCTATGTTAAGATCCCATGCTCTTCATAAATCTAAATTTCATCTCCAAGCTCTCATCCACTGGTCAGTTTTTTACTACTCTATATAGATAGTATTGCTGTCCTATCTATTTAAAATTTTTCATAATTGGAAAATTGATAATCTATTGAATGTTAAGTTCTATGTTAAGAACGTTAAATATTAACTTTTAACGGTACCTCTTTGAATGACAAAATAAGTCGACTCTCAGTAAGAGCATAAGAAGCTTCCAGTGTGATTATCGGATTTTCAAGTTATCAGGGCAATAATTATATGCCCACAGCAATTAAACCAATTACTAAGATCTTAGGTCTGCTGCTATATGGCACTTAAGTCTTTGTATATAAGGGCATACCTACATTCAAAACTATTCATTCAAAAATTTCTAAGAGTCATTTTCCATGTTCCTTAGTCTCCTACAAATATTCTTCTTTGGCTGGAAATAAGCTATATCTTTTCAAGTATGTTTGAGACTTTGTTGACCACATTTGGCAGTCAGTTCCTAGTCCAGCTTTAACTCTTAGATAATGGTATTGCTTTCTTGAAAAGAACAAATTGATTCTGATTTAGTTTATTCTAGGCTTCTCCCTTCCCATATATATGCTTTTTGGGTCCAGTACAGGTAGTCCTCAACTTAACGACCACGACTTAACGAACCCAAAATTTCTGTTGCTAAGTGAGGCAGTTATTAAGTTTTGCCCCTTTTTATGACCTTTCCTGCCATAGTTGTTAAGTGAATCTCTGCAGTTGTTAGGTTAGTAACACGGTTGTTAAATTAATCTGGCTTCCCCATTGACTTTGCTTGTCAGAAGGTCGTAAAAGATGATCACATGACCCTTGAACACTGCAACTGTCATAAATAGGAGTCAGTTGCCAAGCCTCTGAATTTTGATCACCTGACCATGGGGATGCTGCAGCTAAGTCACTTTTTTCAGTGCCGTTGTAATTTCAAACGGTCACTAAATGAATTGTTGTAAGTCGAGGACTACCTGAACCTGGTAGAATTGAAGTGATAGACCTAGGCATCCAAAAATATACATTGAATGTTTCACATTGTTGCAACTGTGACCATATGGGTGCTTCTTTTGTTATCCCAAGATAATTTTATAATATCCTTCATGCAGAATAGCATTTACACAGGTATAAACTAATGATCTGTCTTCAGTGGTAACAAATTATTCTGTACTAGGATTGTTTTCTCTGGATTCTCAGATACCAAAGTTGAGTCTGTAGCACAGTTGCCCCTTTTTATTCAACTGGCATCTTGAACTTCAATCAGTTTCTTCAGTGGCCATTCAGTTTTCCAGATGATAAGAATCCGGTGAGAGTGGAGTTCTTTATTCTGTTCAGTTACAAAGCCTTTAACTGACTAAACATATTGTTCCCCTGAAGGTTTTGCTACCCCTGTTTGAAGTTCGTTTTAATTCATATAAATAATGGAATTATTATTTTCCTCAAGCATAAAGTTTGGAAGAAGAAAAGTGATCTTGCTTGTCACCTGAAATGTTTTATGTTTCCTTTTAATGAAACAAATGTAAAATACATGTTCTTGTTTTGCTTTTTAGTCTGAAGGCACACAAGAGCCACCTGAAGTACCAACCCCCCCTTCTCCTTCACCTCCACCACCTCCGCAAACGTACCCAAGATTGGTAGATCCAAGCATTGGATTATTGATGCCACCACTTCACACTCCCAATAATATTGCTGTATTTTGTGATCACAACTACACGGTAGAGGATACGGTGCATCAGAGAAAAAGAATCCAGCAACTGGAAGAGCAGGTGGATAAACTGAGGAAGAAACTTAAGACTGCACAGCAGCGATGTAGGCGTCAGGAAAAACAGATTGAAAAACTACGAGAGCTTGTTCAGTTTCAGAAGGAAAAAGACGTGCTGTCAGGCAAAGGTGGTTATGTGATTCTGCCTAATGACTATTTTGAAATTGTAGAAGTCCCTGCCTAGAAGGCTAGCATTGTCATTTGTGGGACACTGCCAAAGTTAGCCTCATCAGACTAACCCACCTTATTCAGTTTAAAAAGCAAGACTTTTTAGTTCTGTATATTAAATACTTCAGCCCTTCAAAACAATAAAAGTTGCTATATAATCAATTGTTGCTGTTGTCTAGTGCTGATCTTTTTATTGATCCATTGCTCAAAAAGGGAGCTAGTGATGCTTAAATGTAAGAATGAGTGACAATAACATACTTGCTCACTCATATGTTGCTCAATGTGATGGAATATGGATTTGACTCAGGGAAGTAGAAATACTGAGCAGTAATAAAAAAGATAAATCCTGGGAAAGCCAAAAAGCACCAGGAAAAAAAATATCAAAACATCTCCACCTTGATCGTGTTAGGGATATGTTGAACTGGAAAGATACTTTGCCAGGCTTTCAAGATTATGTGTCAATGATCTAACAGCATTCAAGTGCCTTCCAACACTCGATTGACTCTTTTTTGTGACTCTACCTGTCTTAAAGAGATGATATCCATCTTGGCACTGTCCTCCCCTTTCAGGGAACTCACATTCCAGCACACTCAGAAATCTATTTTCAGTGATTCATTGGTATATGAAATATTTCTCTAGCATTCATAAGGCGTGGTATGATATAGAATGGTGGCTATTATCTGTGAGTCACTAAAACTTTGGTTCAAATTCTGTCTTCCTTGAGCAATTTAGGCAAGTTGTGTTTCCTCAGACTCTGAAAAAAATATGTGGCTTTTCTGTTCCAGTGTGTGAGCCAGATTGCAAGCCATGGCCAAGCTACGTAATCTTTCATTGTACAATTGTACTTTAAAGATCAAAGAAAAAAAGGCAATGTTAGAGACACACACATACCGGTAGAAATTCTAACCAGCTCTTAGAATAGAACCCAGACAGTAATAGGGCTCCAGTTCAGGTGCTACACTACTAGAATCGAATGAAACCTCAATTTAATGAACCTCAGTACAACAGGGTTCATGTGCACTAGTGATTTATACTATTTGCATAAATTCAGATCATTTGCATGATAATCCTGTAAATGATACAAATCAGTTTATCAAAATGATATACTTTCATGTTTGATAGACTTTATGAATAATGAGCAAACTTCCCACAATTAGATTGTTAAAGTGAGGTTGCACTGTGCTTTTCTTAGTACCTCCTTGGAAAGAGTTGCGCTGTTGTGTCTGCAACCACTGAATCTTTTGATTATCTGTGGCAGCCCATGTGAAACAACTGAAAGGTTAGGTTATAAACAGATGAATTACAATTGTAAGAACCACTGGATCCTAAAACTGGTAAAAGGTGTATTTAGCCACTGCTAGTTTGAGTTGGAGATCACATAGAACAACAGTCTAGATCAAGACGAGTTGTCAACGATCATTCAAATTTATATTCAATTTCATCCAATTCATCCTCCATTTTGTGCTCATGGTGAGGCAAATTCAAAATAAACACCAGAATCACAAGATCTAGATCAGATTAATAAAGGTTTCACTGCTTGCGTTCAACATGATGATGATTGATGGTGTGCAGCTTTCTCTGACTGCCTTATATAGGTTTCCAGTTGCAACCCAAAATCTTGGTTTTAACTTACAAAGCTCAATATGGCTTAGTACCCAGATAATTGCAATGCTGCCCTCACCTATCTGAATTTACCTATCTACTACACTTTTTCTGGGATAACCTTCCAGTGAAATCCACTTTCATAAGCTTAAGGGAATGGAGGCCAGGAGGCACCGATTCTCAATTGTTGCTCCAGCCTTATGAAATAGACTTCTTGTGGAATTAAGACTTGCATCATCTCTCTTAATATTCTGGGAGTAGCTTAAGATGGAACTCTTCCATAGAACACTTGTGGACTTGTTAGATGCTGCTAGGTTTTAATTTCAATGTAATGGTTGCAATTCACTTTTGTATTTTGACTGCTATTTATTTTTTCCTATTATAATTATACAACATTTATATTTTTTCTTTTAATTATGCTTATCGGTTTTGTGGGTTTTTTATTGGGTTACTATAAACCACTTTGAATCTTTGCCTGTATACAACTAGAATAAATGAATATACATATTGATCAGGTTCACATATTATTCTAAATTATTTATTTAATCATGGTTTCTTGAGTAAATCTAGTCCAGAGGCCCCCAACCTTTTGGGACTGATGCCATGGAAAAAGGGGTCTCTGAGGACCAGAGTGGGGCGTAGTTTTGCATACTGCCTGCATCCTGTGGATGGGGCTTTGCTTGTTTGTGCAGCTCAGTTGCTGGCATGCTTTGGACCGGTGCCAGTCCATGGACCGGGGGTTGGGGACCCCTGCTCTAATCCACAATTACTGATACATTACAAATGTGTAAACCTATATAACATATTAAGTCTTAAACAATCACATTGTACACTTTGTGAATCCAGATATTTTGAGGGATTCTTCAAAGTCGCGACTGATTAAAATGAAACAAGGTAAAGGTAAAAAATCATAAAACAAGTAAAATTGTAAGTTAACTTTTGAGAATTTAGGACATAAAAATAACAGTAAAGTATGATACAATTTATATAAGCAGATAAATGATTGTACAGGTAGTCCTTGACTTACAACAGTTCATTTAGTGACCGTTCAAAGTTACAAAGGCACTGAAAAAGTGACTTAGGATCATTTTTCACACTTACAACCTTTGCAGCATCCCCATGGGCAGGTGATCAAAATTCAGACACTTGGCAACTGACTCATGTTTAGGATGGTTGCAGTGTCTCCCTGGGTCATGTGATCCCCTTTTGCAATCTTCTGACAAGCAAAGTCAGTGGGGAAGCCAGATTCACTTAACAACCATGTTACTAGCTTAAAAAACTGCAGTGATTCATTTAACAACATTGCCAAGAGAGGTTGTAAAATGGGGCAAAATTCACAATAGTCTCACTTAGCAACAGATATTTTGGGCTCAAATTGTGGTCGTAGCTCGAGAACTATCTGTATAGAATAAAGAACACTAAAATTACCGATCTAAAATATATAGAACCATTATAATACTAAAAGCTACGGAACGGACTCTTCATGAAATTTCTTGGTCTGAGAAATGAGAACTGCTTGCCATTGTCGTCACTGGAAACTTTCCACCGAACTGGTAAACAACTCTACAATTGCATACTTTTATTAAATTATAAACCTCCAAAGAAATAAATTTTAACTGTACTAATTAAAACTGGGAAGATTTTATTTTTCTGAGACTGCCACCCAAGACCTAGTAAATTCAGTTGAAAGGATGACTATAAATAGATTGGCCCATCCCCCTGCCCCCACATTCCTTATGTAGTCTCTTAAGTGTATAAATCAGTGATGATATAATGATGTCATAATCCCTCCCTTTCTTCCTTAGGAAAGGTTAATGTTAGTGAATGTGACTGAGTTCCTGAAAAGACACCTGGTTAAGGTAAAGCTTATTAGGTGACATTGTAACATATGGAAGACCTAAACTATTATTCAAATTACCATTCTTTAATGATAAGAAAATACTGAAGTTATTTAATACAAATGCTGATAGCTTCTTTGAGTAGAAAAGGAAGTACACATGCCAACAGTTACAAGCTTAGAGACTCCTAATGTTTAAATCAAATTTATTTGTGAGATTTACTGTATATCCTGACCTATACTTTGTTCTTAAGCCAGAGCAGTACTCCCTTCTGACTTTTCCCCCCTCAACTACAACCCTGTTAGATAGATTGGGCTGAAAGAGAATGACTGGCCCAAAACTATTCATAAGCTTCTATAACTGAAGAAAATATAGTGATTCTTTTTTTTTTCCTCTTTAATTGAAATAGCCTTCTAAGGAAGTGTGGAGGAGAGTTCTCGTGGTTTAGCTTCTTTGTCCTGGATCCTTACAGTAAGAAAAAAAGAAAGCATCAATACAGCTGACAGAAGAGTTCTGTTGGAATATGGATTCATTAAGTGGTGGCTCTGATGTTTTGTCTCAGGGTAGTAGTGCCAAACAACCTGTTTCTCGCAAAAAAGCTAGAGTTTCTATAAGTGATACCATTGAATATCTGAATGATAGAGAGACACCTGCCTACTTTTCCACATCAGTGTGCTCATGTAAGCCAGACCAGGAGGCCACGGTTTCAAGAAAAATTAAGCATCACCCTGCAAGAGTATTGGGCTTTGTTCATAAATGGCAGGATCCATCCAAAGCTCAAAGCACCAGCAATATGAGCACAGACGAAGTTCTAGCCTTTGCTCCAGCACCTCGGCGAAAGACACGCCAGCAGTTTGGGCAAGAAAACAAGGCAGCCGGCATCATACAGTCAGCTTGGAGGGGTTCGCATGCCAGACAAAACACGGAGAAGGTGAATAAGGCTGCCACCAAGATTCAGGCGATATTCCGAGGATACTTGATCCGAAAGGAGCTGCCTCTGGGATTGTGTTCCTCCTACGGTTGGGCTGAAAAACAGAAGAAAACTAGACCCAGAAAACAGAACCGCTCTTTCCCAACATTCCCCAGCTGCCATCCGCAGCGCGGTCTAGATTTCGGAAGGCCTGCTGAAAGGGAGTGTACCTGCCTCCCGAGTTACAAGCCAAAATACTATCCAAAAACGGTGATAGAGAACTATCCCCCTTTGAATCTCAAAGAGCCCTCCTTTGAAAGGGCATCTATCCTTCAACCCAGCAGGACAGGGTTACTTTCAATGTCTTTGCCCCTGACATTAGAGAAGCAAAGACACCAGGAGGCTGCTGCTACAATTCAAGCAGCCTGGCGGGCTTACCAAAACCGTCAGAAAAGAAGGCCTTTTGTCCAAGTCGACAGATACCCTTTCCCGCCTAATGTTGCTGTCAAGCAAACACTTTGGAAAAATCTAAAATTAGGATGTACTTTTCCAGAAGAAGAAATCCAGCAGATGTTGGAGAACACGGACATTTTGTTACTGAGCAAAGCACCACGGGTTCGAAATATTAATATACGTGCAGTGGTGAAAGGCTTGCCAGTTTCTTCCCCGATGCCCAACATATCTGTGGAGGTAAAATCTCCTCATGCGGTAATCCAAGGATTTCAAAGAGACTTGAGCAGTGGCATCCAAGCAGTTTACACTATGAGAAACGCCAGTGCTTCAGGAGTGTCTCA